TGGGCCTCTGGACTGGTTAGCGCCCCCTGCCAACCCTTCCCCCATCCCCTGTCCAGCCTCCTCCAAGGGAGGAAGGGCCTGGTCTTGGGGTGGTGGGACCCTACTCACATCACCCCCTTGGGCCTTAAGTTACTGAGTGATGAGGCCTGGTTTCCCCGTGCAGCCCTCTTGGGTTCAGTCAGTGTGATGGGCGAGGCATGGGGTGTGGGCGGGGCCGGAGGGGAGCTAACCCTGGCTGGTGACAGTGGGCAGGTGGATTGTGAGGGGAGGGGACCAGCAGAGGGCCAGTTCTCAGAGCCAGGGAACCAAACTCAGGCTGGGTTGGGAACGGTGAGATGAGCATGCAGACAGAAGGGAGATGCAGTAGGTCCCCTACATTCGAAGGGGTTCTGTTCCGAGAGCACATTTGTTAAGTCCAATTTGTTTGTAAGTCCAACAAAGTTAGCCTAGGTACCTGACTAACACAATCGGCTATATGGTACTGTACTGTAATAGTTTTATAATACTTTTTGCACCAGTATATTATGTCTGCTGAAATAAATATAGGTTCTAGGGATCCAAAGAAATCATAAAGACCACACATAATATTGATCTCAGTTTTAACAAATGTGGTCACAGTGAAGTAATTGGATTAAAAAGATGATATCTGATTTTTATCTATCAATCAATATCTATAATATCTAAAGTACATTCCTATTCAAAATTCTTCAGAGTGAAAATGGGTCTGATGAACCCACAGGCAGGACAGGAATAAAGATGCAGACGTAGGGAATGGACTTGAGGACAAGGGGAGGGGGAAGGGTAAACTGGGACGAAGTGAGAGAGTAACATGGACATATATACACTACCAAATGTAAAATAGGTAGCTAGTGGGAAACAGCCGCATAGCACAGGGAGATCAGCTCAGTGCTTTGTGACCTCCTAGAGGGGTGGGATAGGGAGAGTGGGAGGGAGACGCAAGAGGGAGGGGATGTGGAGATATATGTATATGTATAGCTGATTCACTTTGTTATACAGCAGAAACTAACACACCATTGTAAAGCAATTATACTCCAGTAAAGATGTTAAAAAAAAATTCTTCAGAGTGAAATATTTTATTCTAAGTTCTGCACTAGTACCAAAGAAATGAACACTTCTATTTTTTACTAGTACTGTACTCTATACAGTACTGCACAGTAAAGTACACAAAAGCACAACCACTTGTAGAGGACGCGTGCACGTGAAAATGTACACCAGACGTGAACTAACGTAATGTGACTGGACACACGAACACACGTTCGCATCTTTGAAAGTTGCAACTTTGAGAGTTCGTATGTAGGGGAATTACTGTAGTTGAAGACGCGAACCAAAGTAACAGTGGAGCCCGCCCACCTTCCAGCCCTGCTCCCATAAACACACACACACAGGGCAGCTCTCACCCTGTCCAGAACTCAGAACCTCCCAGGAACACGCGCTTCCCGCAGCTTGGCCTCCAGCCCCGGGTTCCCTCAGGAAGTCTAAAACCTTGGCTACGTGGTGAGCTTGCAGGACCTGGATTTGTTTTCTGTCTCCTCCAACCTTCTCCAAATCTTCCTCCCACCCAAGTTCAGGGATGAGGCTTAAAACCTTAATAAATAGTATCTTATTGTTTAATCTGTGTCTGGACCTGTGAGCAGCCCTGGAATCAGCCTTCTGGGAGTTCAGTCGGGGGCCCGTTCCTGGGCCCATGCCAGCAGCCTGGGACGTGTGGGCAGACAGACAGACAGATGAACAGAGCACAGTGGTGCTCTGAACATTTCCAAGATAAACTGTATTTCTCTTTAAAAACAGAGCAAAGCAAAAATACTTGTCTGTGAAACAATAGACTTGTCGTTGATAATGATAGAAACTTTACAGCCTGACTCATACGTTTTCCAAAGTTGTAGTCTGTGGTCGCCTAGGAGATGCGCCACCCAGACTCCCCTGGGAGGAAGAACGTGCTGTCCAGCTGGGGAAAGACTGTCAGTCCCCAGTTGTCTGCTCCTCCAGGACCTCAGCCTGAGAACAGCCTGGCCACCTGGGGTCACGCCCTCCAGGGCAGCCCTGGCAGGTGATGGGTGAGCTGGGCTTTTTGCGCTCAACTCCAGAGCTTTCTGCTGGGGTGGCCCAGGCGTGGTCAAGTCTGCATCAGGGTTCTCCCTATGCCAGTCACTGATGTCCTTCCTGTCCCTGTCCTTCCTGTCACTGGTGTCAATCCCTAATGAGCATCTCCATTCCAACTCCAGGTCAGCATCTGTTTCTGCAGAACCCAGCTAGGACAGCTGTTTTCTCATTTCAGTAGGTATGTGATTTACAAGAGGGAGCAAAAACCTAGGCTGCAATTACACATTGATGTTGATTTTATTCTTGTCTAAAGTTGTAGTAAATCCATCATGGTTGAAGATGTGTTATTCTTTTTAAACCAGGAAGTAGATTCTGTTTAAGAAGTTGGGTTTTGGGTTTTTTTTTTTTTTGTGGTACACGGGCCTCTCGCTGTTGTGGCCTCTCCCGTTGCGGAGCACAGGCTCCGGACGCGCAGGCTCAGCAGCCATGGCTCACGGGCCCAGCCGCTCCGCGGCATGTGGGATCTTCCCGGTCCGGGGCACGAACCCGTGTCCCCTGCATCGGCAGGTGGACTCTCACCACTGCATCACCAGGGAATCCCTGTTTAAGGAGTTTTTGAGGGAATTCACATCAATCAAGTATTTCCTTTAGGAGTTTTAATATTTCAGATGCTTTATTTGGACAATGGACTCATGATGTTTTCTGAAATTTATCCTTGTGATGTTTGAAAATATTCTTTATTCCAACCATTAGCGTTAACAGAACAGTATAGCCATTCCTGTGAAATATATGCTTAGCGTTTTAACTTAATAATTCAAGTTTTGAGCACTGTTTGGGTCTAACAGTTATAGCAATAGCAAATATAAGCTGCTCAAATTTTTGGTTGAAGTAATCAAATTGTTTTTCATTTTAGAAATGAAAATTTTATATTGATTCTTGAACAATATAGAAAGATGCTCCTGGGAATTCCCTGGCAGTCCAGTGGTTAGAACTCCATACGTTCACTGCCTGGGGCCCGGCTTCGATCCCTGGTTGGGGAACCAAGATCCCACAGGCTATGTGGTGAGGCCAAAAAAAAAGAAAAAAGAAAAGAAAAGAAACATGCTCCTTGCTGTTGCCATGTTATCATAGTATCAGAAAATTTGGGCTGGGACTTCCCTGGTGGTGCAGTGGTTATGAATCTGCCTGCCAGTGCAGAGGACACAGGTTCGAGCCCTGATCTGGGAATATCCCATATGCCGCGGAGCAACTGAGCCCGCGCGCCACAACTACTGAGCCTGTGCTCTAGAGCCCGCGAGCCACAACTACTGAAGCCCGTACACCTAGAGCCCGTGCTCCGCAACAAGAGAAGCCACCGTAATGAGGAGACCACGCACTGCAACGAAGAGTAGCCCCCACTCACCGCAACTACAGAAAGCCCACGTGCAGCAAGGAAGACCCAATGCAGCCAAAAATAAATAAATTTATTTTAAAAAAAAGAAAATTCCTGGCTGAAGTCTATTTTTCATATCATTCCAGAAGATTTGTGTTTATGATTCAGAAGATTTGTGGTTATATTTTCTAAAAGCTTTAAGAAATATATCCAAACTTTGTTGATTCTTCACTTTATGTGCTTATTTCCATATTTTACTATAAAATCGTACACATATAAACAACCAAGCTCTGCACACTAACAGTCCCAAGAATTTCAAAGCATCAGCAGTATGATCAAAGTAGAGACAATAGAACCAAAAATAGAAGCAAACAGCAATGATGTGATTTGAAGAGAATAATTAACTGGTGATTCTCCTGATCTCAGAATGCCTGCCTGCCTGGGAGATGGGGCTGTGAACACTTGTCACATTTACTTGTCACAGGAGGTCCTTTTACCATCATAGCATCCCGTGGCATTTGGCTGATCAACTAAGTTTATGTTAGAATTTTTATTAGTAAGTGATTTCACCTCTCAGTGCGGTTACTATTACACAATTTACTAACTGAAACATTTCAATAGTTTGTCAACAGGCATGTTCACATACACACACACACACACACACACACACACACAGTTACTAGAACAAAGAACAATGAAAGTGAATCAGATTGGCAACTTTGCATGCTTTCAGAAGTAAAGTAAAAATCCCCCTTGCTTGCATTCCTGATTAAAACCTAAATTTGCCCCCCGGTCACCCTTCCTGAGTTACCCATCCAGCCCCTGGTTCTCCACCCTCCCTGCAGCACCCACAGCCTTGGACAACTCGACCTGCCCCCCCCCAACTCCAGTCCCTGGCTTGAGATGATTGCTCAGTGCACCTCTCCTAAGCGGGGCTGATCAGAATCCCTTTCTGAAGAATTTGGGGTTGAGACCGCTGGCTACTGGCTCTCTGCTCTTCTGCCCTGTCCACGGAGCCCTGAGGGGAAGGAACAAAGAAGCAGACTCCTCCTCCAGTCCCAGGCTCTGCTGGGAACCCGAGAGCCACACTTGTATCTTTATCTACATCCCTCTTTTATTTTTTTGCTTTATCACATTTGACGTTGGTTATGTGCTTATCAACATAGTCCTAACTAAACATCTCCTTAGCAAAGCTCTCCCACCCCACATGCCCCCCCCACTTCTCCTCGGTAGTGAGCCCTGAGGTCAGAAATCCTTCTGTGCATGCTGCATACTTTATATTTTAAAGCAATGGTGTGTTCCTGGGGCCCCTGTTTAGCCTGTGTGTACGGGATGGGATGCAGGTCTGAATTAAGGGCTTCTAGTGGCTTCTTTAAAACATCTCCATAAGGTCCTACTGTGGGGATATAATTTTAATGATATTAAATATAAACAGCTCAAAACTGTATATTGATTATTAGCTTCAATTAACTTCAATTCCTAGCGGATGCAACCGTGTGAACAGGGCTGAGTTATGAATGATGTCTCATGCACCGGCTCAGCTGACAGAGGATACACCTGTCCTCACCTGGATGGTGAGGTGACCAGCAGGAAGGTCGAAGCACTGCTCCCGGAGGGTGCTGAGGCCCATGAGGCACCTCAGCGACAGATCCTGAAACTAGCAGCTTGGGCACCTCAGGACAGCCTGGGCAGCTCGCCCTCTGCTCCCTGGAATGTTGGCTGTTGTCAGGTACTGCACGGGAAAGGCTGCCAGCCTTGGTCCAGGTGTGTTAGCCCTCCCCGTTGCTTCCCTGCTGTCCAAAAATTTTATACCCATTGATTCTTCACAGAAAGTTTATAGGAAGTGAATTCTCCAGGCGACAGTTAGATAAACAGCTCTTACACAGGTGTAACAGTCCATCCCTAGAACTGCAAAGCTTGCATTCTGTTCACCTAAGCACCACCTGCGGACTGGACAGAGGAGGGAAGGGGGAGACCCCAGCACTGGGCCGGGGTCGGGGAAGCTTTGATCTCACTTTACTTACCCAACACACACTGAAATAGTGCTTTGTAGAACCAGGCAATCTTCCAAGCTCTTTCCACATTTCAGTCCTTCAATCCTCTTAACAACCCAGTGAAAGTATATGTTGATGTTATATCTTCACTTTACAGATGAGGAAACCTAGGCAGGGGACGTGAAGTGGCTGGTCCAGGGTCCTACAGCCCGTAAGATATTTATCCCAGAGAACTACTTTTCAGTGAATTTTGGCACATTGAATCCTATATCCTATTTAAATACTCATGTTTAAAGAGAAAGGAAGATAGAGAATCTTTCAAAGAGGTAAGGAATCATCTCCACATGAATTTTTGTGTGTATGTGCAAACTTGCTTCATTTGCTCTTAATTTTTGAAGGCTGCAGACTTTCACAGGGCCTAACACGCACCTGGGCCAGATTTTGAAGTAGGGAGGGAATTAGGTAGGTGTGCACAGTTGGGAGCATAAACCCAAGACCCCATATTTTTAAGGGTTTCAGGCAGGGGCCAGTTCCTCTCCGGAGATTTCCTCTGCTGACTGCCTCAAGGTTGGAGGTTCTCAGGGTCCCTGCCTTCAGAGGTCATTGTGCAGGGATGGGCCTGGGGTGGGAAATGTAGCTCTGGAGGTGAGGGATAACGAGAGCAAATACGTTAAACCAGTGAACATACAGTGCATGATAGGACCTGAGATTTCTGACATTCTCAAGCACGTGGTTTATAAAATGATTTCGTAAGACACCTCTGAGGGAAAGGTGACAAATAAGTTCCTTGTCGCTTGAACGTTAATAATCGGGTGAAAAAGAAAACTCCCTTATGTGATTTAAGGTAAGTCTGAGGTCACACCGGCAGGACACCGGAGGCGGGAATCAAGCTTCTCACTAGAGCCTTGAAAGAATGCAAAACTGAGTCTGCGAGCATTGGCAGTTCTCGGGGAGGATGGTCCTGAGCTGTCATCAGCTTCTCACAGAAGCCAAGCGACCCCAAGAAGTGCAAGATCCCTTCCCTAC